ACGCTGTGGGCTGCGTGGACGGTCAGACGGCGACGAGGGAGGTGAAGCGTCGTTGTTGCACGCATCCTCTCGCTACTCCCCTCCGTTGCCCCTCTTGTCCACCTCGAGAGAGCAGTTACAATGGCTGGACGAAGGGTTCCGGCGATCTGGTGTGTGTAAACGTTCACTTCAAAGCAAATCACCTATCGTTACGCACGGCAGCACCGACGTCATCGATGTCCATACCCGTTCTCGTTGCTGCTGTTGTTGTTGTTGGTCGGTCGGTTGTTGTTGTTGTCGTCGTGAACGTCGTCGATGTTGTTCTCTATATGGCGGTGCGGCTGCAACGAAGAGGAGAGAGAGAGTGAGCTCTTTTGAGAATTAGCTCTTCGAACGAGCTTCCAAGATGACACGAGCTCTTCTCTATCCGTCTCTCTCTCCCTTTCCTTTGCGTCGCGACAGATACGTACTTGGGTGGATATGTTAGTCACGGACTATTGATCCGGGGATGGATCTAATACGAGTAATTATAGGCCTGGCCGGTGTATGGTCGACGCGAGCATTGCGTCAGGAATCTTTGTGGGGATCGTGGACCGTGAACCGTGCAGCTAATGAACGGTTATCAATCCTACGGTGGGATCTGGAGCTTTCTGTTTTTTAGGTTAACGCGAACTCTGACCTATACGCGGCAAACGAGCTTTCTTCCTGATTTTATTCCGTGAAAATTCTTTACGGTAAGAGTGTCTTTTTGTTTTCGTTAGATATCGTCGTTCGTTGTCGGGAACGAGTAACGTCTCTAATCAAATGGTCTCTCGGTGTGTAGAAACGATTTCTCAGAGTTCGCGGATAGCTGGGAAAAGCTGGGGACAACGCGTGACGGTAGTGGAAGAGGGGTTGCGAAGCGCGGCAGAGTCCCTCGGGTCCCAATTACACCGACACCCGATCCTGGCATTACAGCCGGGCTAATTCAAGGGGCGAGGAACATGTATAAATCTCGGTTCGTTGATTGTACAGTTTCAATTCCATTTCTCTACCACGTTCACCGCTGGTAAAACCAATGTCATCCGTGAAACGGGAACTCTCCTCTTGTTCCCTTTCACCGGAAGGTCCATCATCGTCGTTTCACTCCCCCTTAATCTCTAAACGACACCACTCTCTCTCTCTCCTTTTTTCTCTCTCGCTTTCCAAGCTTTTTCTACCCACGAGGGAAAAGAGTGGCGACCCCAGAGGGAGGGGGAGGGGGTGTTAAAAGTCTCGTTACATCGAAAGAAACCTAGGAGAAGAGAGAGAGAGAGAGAGAGAGAGAGGTGAAAGGGTTTTGCGAAAGGCGGAAGGGATGGCGACAAAAGGTTCGGCTAATTACGACGAGGCCGCAAGTTGCCGTGCAAACGGCGGCCAAAGGCAGCTGTCGGGTTCCCAAGGCGGTCTACGACGAAGGTTTATACGCGACGTGGGGCTTTTTGCCATAGAGAAAACGCGCGGTGATCCGCTTCTGGTTTGACGCGAGTGACGCCAGCCAGAATTTCCGGCCGCGGATCCAATCCAGAGCTTGTTCCGCGGTTCTATTTGTTATCCTAGCCGCTCTGTCGACCGATCTCCCGCTGTTTTTCCACTCGTACTACTCCGGTCCTATACTTTGCTCGACGACGGGCTTATCGTCGCTTATGAAAAACCTCGAGCAACGTTTAACGATCTCTCTTGAAATTAAAGTAAACGACCGGGACAACGTGGGAAACGTCCCTTCCGCGGGGAAAAAAATCACGCTTTTCATCGTATAGTTTAGACCAGGGCAAATAAACCTCGGTGCTTTTTTTTTTCATTCTCTTTCCAGCATGATTTTTCCTTCGTCTTGGAATTAAGATCGAAGTACGAAATGTGCTTTGCTCTAGGAAGGTTTCAAGCTGTTTCAGTTGCAGCTTCGACTATCTGTGTAGTTCGTGATTTATTCAGCTGTCTTACAAGCAGTAGGACACCCGGTATGTTCGTACGAAGAGTATTGTGATTTTTGAACGACTGCTTAGTGTCGTAATACTTGCAAATAACTACTCTATACTCTTTCGTGCAGCCGAAAGACTAATTAAAAATTGTCACCGATTAATTCTAAGCTTTCCATCGACCCCAAATTTGTCATTCAATTTCAAACTTAGAGAAAGACACTAAAAATGTTCACAAATGAATCTTCAACTAAAAGCAAACAAATTGCTACATCTTCGGCGATCCAAGAAAGTAGAAGAGAAGCGAAACGCTTCAAATACACCGGCAATTCAAAAGGAAACAGAATATTTTCGTGTTCGCGCGAGAAACTCTTGGAGCAAGTGTATCCAAGCGCAAACAAACGAATGCTGGTAAATACGCGAAACCTCCTGCAAACTCGGTAGATTTGGCCTGGCTACTCATGCTCATCGAGGCAGCAGGTTAGCCGGTGTATCGGCCACGGTAAAGGTCATCTCATTGTTCGACGCGAGCAACGCGTGTCCCATTACAAATCCCTGGGCCCGCGACGAGGAACAACGGAGGAGAGCACCGACTCCTTGCAACCCCTGCTAAGATAATACAGGCTGGGTGTCCGCGGGGGGTCGGGGATTTCAACCTTTACCGAAATGCCAAGCGGGGCTTTAAACGGGCTAATAACACCGTGCCAACCTCCCTTCTTCTTCCTCCACCTTCCACGTCTTTATTCCCTCCTTATTGCACAAATTGCCTCCTGGCAGCCCCACACATACCCTTCCATCTATGTACTATAAAATTGATAAAGACATCAACGTACGTAACACATCCATCTCTCCTTACGGCGCGGTACGACGGCGCCAGGCAGGTAAAGAGAACGAGAGAGGGATAGAAAGACAGATGGGTAAGAGGGAACGAAATGTCAATGTTTCTTTTGTACGAGCGAAACGTGTAACAAGGTGTCCTCTATATAATTATACACCAGAAGGGTAATTCTCGTATATGCAGTATATAGGAGAGGAGAGGAAGAAAGCAGGCCTTTTCATTTCCAAGCCGGTCATTAGCCGAATGAGAGACGATGGTCTTAGCGAAGCGAAGCGGTTGCGTCAATATTCCTTGGATGATCGATCATCCGGTCGGAACCGCAGGAGGCCTCGCGCAAATTAAGTATCGTCTTACTCGTGGCCGCCGCCTTTACTGAAAGAATCCTCGAAAATACATGCACAATCTGTAGAATGAGAAAATCAAGTCGGCGGAGGGAGGGAGGGAAAGGGAAAGAAAAGAAACGACGGTGAACAAACGAGGAATATGAAATTCTCTTGTAGTTGAAGTAGTGGTGGTGGTGGTGGTAGCATCGATCATCGTGTATACGTATGTAACGTAAAGATACAACGTGAAGGGTGAAGAAGGAGAGGACAGTGGAGAAGAGAGCGAAAGTTTGCCGCGGAAAGATAAAGGTTTCTATAGTCGATGAGCAGGGGTGGATGGGTGGATAGAGAGAGAGAGAGAGAGGGTAGGGTAGACTATTTCCTATATTTGCGATATCATAGAGCTCGCTTGACATTATGGCTGGCGCAAAGGGGGTGGTGGGATAGATGGGCTATTCCGTGAGACCGGCTGTCATATTCATGTATTGACACTGAGCTGGTTGACTAATGGACTGCTGTTGTCACAGGCTCGTGTTACCGCGAGGGCCCGGCCCCTGCAACTCGTTTTTCCTGCGAATCGACCGAAACCACCGCTGCCGCCGTCGTCGTCCACGACGACGTCGACTGGGCACGGTGCTGCGCCACCGGGGCGAAAAGGAGGCGAAAGAAGAACGAAAGAAAGAAAAGGAAGAAAAAAAAAATATTGGCTCGATCGAACCTACCGGTGTGGACGATCGACGTGCTACCGTGGATAGAGTAGGGACGTTTTTTTCCGGCCGCTTCGCAATATAGCGAAGCAGCACGCGGATATTCCTGTCGGTCTTCTCGACTTTTACATATTTATCGGGGCCCTCGCATTGTGCTCGCGTCAGCCGAGACGCCGACATCTTTTGCCGGGAAAAATCCGTGATATTGAATTTGCCCAACCCCTTTCCTCTCTCTCTCTCTCTCTCGCTCTCGTCGTGCTTGCTTTCGTTTCCCTCTTCCCCTTTACTTCGTTCAGGATCGATTGGAACCACGACGGATGATAGTGGTCGTGGGTTAAATCTTTTGTCAGTTAACGCTTGGAAATTCGGAAACAATCTGACAGTCTGCGGATTATCAGGACTCGGGGATTATCGGATAAAAATTTCGCAGAATATCTTCGTTAGTTGAATACAGGTAGACGTGGAAAAATGTTTCGGTGTACAGAGAGCGATGTAGGTTGCGATGATTCATCGAGAAGCTGACCGCGCAACGGTAGCCCCGAATCCCGAGATCTCGATCGAGACTCGCGACACAATGGAGAAATCGCTTCTGGTGCTCGTTTTCTTTTTCATCGCCAGCCCGACGAGAGAACAGAGGAAGGGGTGTGGGTGTTGTTGCAAGGATCGAGTAGGTGGTCAAAGAGGAGCAGCCCGGTGCCCGTAAACGCGAGACGACTATTCTATTACCGACTGACATTCGATACAAACTTGGTCGAGCGATCACAGCCTTTGCCGTGAGTCCTTCCTTCCTTCCTTCCTTCCTTCCTTCTTCCCTACCTTCTGTGTTCCCGTCTCTCTCTGCACACCCCTTCGTTCCATTAAAACACGCGAAACAGCCTATAGTACGAAACAGCCTAAGCAATAGGTAGCCTAAGCATAGTCGTGGCTGAAATAATAGGATACACGCGGCGTAGAGACTTTATAGCGGCGTGTCTCTTCGTGGCTGGTTGATTTATCGTCGAGTTAAATGGCTCGTCGCGGGAACGCCTGCCGGAGACTCTCCTCCGCGAACGGCAGTGAGAGAAGATCGCGGGTATATACGCGAGCACGGGGACCCGTCGTAAAGAGTATCCGCTATGGGACAAGCGTCCCGTAAACGATGGTATTTCGTTGGACCGTATGGTTGGTGAAACGTTGGTGTCTGGTTATTATTACGCGGAGAGAATATTGGAGTACTCACCTCTGATCTTCTGCTCGTCTTGTAGTTGCCGCTCGAGGCTGTCTTTCACCTCTCTCTCCCGTAGAACGTCCATCTTCAGCTCGGCTGTAATTAAAATGAAATTTCATTTATCAGATCGGTCTATTTTTCATTTCATCCGTATATTTCGTCGACACGTTTCAAGGATGGTCTGTATCACAATCCCCCCCTCCCCCCAGTTCTCCAAGTTAAAATGTAGTTATCTATCCCTCAACGATCCTCTCCGCCATTCCTCCTCCTCCTCGCCCCCGAAGAAGGTGGCACAGGAGAATATCGCACGGTCTAGCGGGTCCATGATTAAATCCGGCGTACGATGGCTGGACCAGGGCTCGCATAGTTACCTCTAATAGAATTACACGGAGACGCGGGACGATCCCGACCGCGTCGTCGTCGTCTCCAAGACGTTCGCCCTTTCTCCATCTTCGCGAACAGGCCTCTCCCCTGTCCCCGTGGGACACGACCACGCTAAATTAGCCATTTCGAATCTCGACGAGAGGAGGGTAGTGTCATCCGTACTATGAAACTTGTACTGCCCCCTCAGATTCTAGACTCGGCCCACCGAAACACTGCCGAGTGTTTTCGAGCAAGCACAGTTCGCCAGAGACGCTCTATTATCGACGTCGCGGAAACCCCTGGAGAGGAAAGCGGAAAGAAGTCGCTGCTTTTCACCCGGTAAAACGTTTCCGGGCTCTAAATCAAGCCGGCTAATTCGGTTTAACGGAAGAAAAGAAAGCGGGGGTGGCCACCCTTCTGGCTGTCTGCCCTTCGCAAAATTACATCGGTGGCCAATGAGCCGCGGCGGCAGCTCGTGAATGCGTCTCGCGGCTCATCGAACGATAAGCCGCTCGTTAGATCGCCGCCAATTTGCGGACATTTCGCAGGCGTGTTCGTTTCCGCCAAAGAAGAACCGTGTTCCTTTCTCAAACGCGGCAACAAATTTCGAATGCAATTTCAAACGAACGATCCCCGACGCGAAACCGCGCGATATTCGCGACCCTGTACACCGGGGATAGAGCGAGTTTACAGGAGAGAGGCGAGGTGGAGGAGAGGCGAATCAAGCTGGTAGATTAGGTAGGGCCGCGTCTCAGCAGTCTGCCGGCAATTTGAGAGCGTTTGCGAGGTCCATTAACGGCGGTAACTCTTCACGACCGGCCGCCACGAAGATTCAATTTGAATGCTAACCAGAATAGGAAGTTCGCGCCGGAGCCCCACCGCCGCTACGTGTAGGATATACGTTACGCGGCTGCCCCTTCCTGCCGCCCTCCACGCCCCTCTCTCCCTCCCCCTCTGCCTCGCGCCACCCCGCGCCGCCCCTCGCCACCCTGTTATTGCCAATTTCGGCGCGTTTCTGCAGCCCACTTTGCGATCGTTTAGATTATCATCTCTCCCGGTTTCTCTTTCTCTCGTCTCCACGTTAGGGTCTCCCTTTCCTCCCCTCTCCCCCGTCCTCCCTCTTCTGCTCCCGCCGTTTCACCGTAGATTCGTCTGCATTTCCCTCGGTACCTAACGTTTTCCGGAGATAATTGAACTTTATTAGAGATCGTCGTGAAGCCACCCCCTTTTCCGGGGGACGAAGGTCCGTTCGAATCGACTCGGTTTAACGATTACCTCTTCTCCGTTGTCTTTCCTACGCCCTCCCTCGTTCGTGTTGCTTCCGTGTGTGTGTGTGTTAACGAGGGAATAGCGAGAACGTCGCGACGGTGTCGTGAAAATCAATCGTGTAGCAATGAAAGAAGAGAGGGTAAGGTTATTGAAATTCGACCGCGAGTTCACGGCCATTAAAATTTCAGGGATTAACGTTGATCGCGGCGAACGACTGTTAGGGCTGGTTCGTAAGAAAACTCGCCCCCTCTGGGAAGGAGCTGCGCCTACTTGCTGGTCGTTCCCGCGTCAATTAGACGTTCCCTAATCGCGAGACGCTCCATAAGCCGACGAAGAAGACGAAGAAAGTTTGCATGGACGATCGTTCAGCGCAGCTCGCAAAATTTCGAAGAAAATATTAACACGATAACATGCACGATCTTTACGAAAGCATCGTACGTACAGTTGATCGAAGAAATATAGCTTTCCGTTTTTCCTCGCTTATCCCCAGATTTCTCCCACTATTTCTTCCATCGACTATACCTTCCCGCGGGTCACGCGCTACTCCGGAATCCACGAAAGTGAATTCGTTATCGCGAATCGTTTCAGATTCTCTAAAGCGATTCGCGGAAACCTGGCAACAGCTGTCGCGAGACACGGCTCGTTAAGAACCGTACGAATCATTTCGATGGGCCCTTGTACGAGTTATCTGGGAGCGGAATCGGCGGGGGATAGGCTAGGTGAACCGAGGAGGATCATCGGCGATAATAATATTCACGGTAGCCCGAGCAAGTCTGGCCCGGCAACAATAACGGTGCAACGGAACGTGCATGCCACTGTTACCGGAGCGATTCATGGTTATTGATTAGAGTATATGTATATGGGTGGCGGGAAGACGAGAGGCGGTAGCAGCGGTGTAGCGTTCACATCCCCGGAGGGCTTGTACGACGACGTGTACGCGTGGTATAGCTTCTGCGCGGCGCTAAGATATTCGCAGGGCCCGGGGCCACCCTCAGAAACAACAATGTCAACTTACCCGGTGCGCCATGCCCCGCAATCGTTTGAATAGTATAATGTAGCTTTCGTGTTACGCCCCGTACGACACACGTCCACGTATCGATATATCGCCGCTTCGATGCCGCCTTCGACCCACGCCTACGCCCACGTCGACGTTCGCCGCCGATCCTCCCCGCGAATTATTTTCACCGGGTTTTCTTCCTTTTCGTACAAACACCGCGCGTAGGTTTATACACGCGGAGAGGAAGATAGACAGAGAGATTGGCAGGCGTTTACCAATTTCATTTCGACGGATCACGGGTACCGGTAATAAACCGCCGCTGGGAATTAACCGGCGGATTATTTCGGTAATTTACAACCCCCGGGATGCTCCTGGCACCGCTCGTCTCTCTTACTCGTCGCAAATTTCTCCGATAGGGAAGGAAGTTGAACGCCTTCTTGTTTCACGCGACAGTAACAGTCGTCAATTAGAAAAAGTGTTAGGGTTTTAAGATCTTCTGGAGCCCGGTGCGTTACCTTTCTTTTAGACGAAAAGACGTAGGAAGGAATTGGGACATTGTTCTCTCCCGACCGCGAGAATTTCATAAATTTCTCGGACCTGAATCCCGATTAATCCCGCGGCTCGCGTTATTTGCCCACGCGGGGGTTTCCCGGCGTCCGGAGGGGAGGGCCACAGGCTCTCCCGAAACGGCGATATTATTGTTTCCACCCTTGCATATTATAAACGCGTAACGATCGCTCGGCAAGTTTGTCCTCTCCCGCGGGCATGCCTCCACCGTTGCGGCGCTCGAATTGTCTGCGGTTCGCCTGAGTGGATAATACGATACGCTCTCTGCGTATCGCGCGTTTGCGTATTAACAAAGACGGAAAGAAGATCGCGTTGTAAGTTAGCGCCCGAGTGAGAAGCGCGCAGAGGTCAATAGTTATTCGGCACGGATTACGTTCCTTGGCTAAGGGATACAAGGGTTTCCCTCCTACAGGATTTAAGACGGACTTAGGCCTTGTTCCGGTCGCTGACCACTTTGCCTCCCATTAACCATTAACGGATCTAACGAAAATAGGATTAGATCGCAGCTAGACAGAGCTAGACGCCGCGCTAGCTAAAACTACTGCCGTCTGCGCAGCGGCGTCGGGTTTCTTCACCGAAAAGCCGTGGCCACGGATTATCCGCGCAACTTTTTCCCTTCGATCCACGTCCTCCGTATCCCTCTGCTCCCGTGATCCTCCCTTTTTTTCCTCGCGTTCGATCGGAAACGTCTTCTTAAACGTCAGGTAGAAATAGTTGGAATAACTCTCGATGTCACGTGTAATTCTGAACGAAACAGTTAAGCAGGTAGCTTTTTTCTTGGTTATTTAACACCGGGGGTACCAGTCGGGACAAAATGACCCATTAGCGACTCTCCAAAAGTGAATTTTTACGTAAGTAAAACGTGATTGGGGCGTTGGATTCAAATGGAAAATAAATTCGGAAAGTTAGAAACGAAAATACTTTCTAGTATCGATCAATCACATTTTTTCGAAAGTTGCTCATGGGTTATTTTGATCAGGCCGATAGTTCTAGTGTTAAATCTTCTTCTCAAGTTCATTTCAAACATTCGTTAAACTTCCAAAAGCTTCTCTTCTTTTTGGTAAGACCTCTTTCGTAAGGTGGGTCATTTTTGACCCGTTTAAAAAGGAGCTGTAATTCGCTCTTCTACGTAAGTTAATTTGTAATATTCATCAAGCTCTGAAGAGCTTCTTTCCTACTCGCGACAAATATTGCCACAAATGTCTGGCATTACGTTCGGTCGGTATAATTACGGTATCAAACCATCCGACACGTCGTTCCAGCATACACAAAGAGCCACGTGAGCATGCAAGTCCTTGTCCACGTTATCGATCTGGAAGAAAAGCCAACAGCTCGCAAACGCTCGTGAAATTTACCAGCAAAGGGGGCACCCTTGTTTTCTTAACTAATCCTCCGCTTCTTCGAAACAGCAATCGAGTCCGAAGTTTAACGTTCTAACCTTGTAACATCAATTCACCGAGCTTTTTCTCTTTCGGCCGAGAAGATAGTCGGGCCAGAGAGCAGCGGGACAATTGAACGACGAGTGGGGGGAGAGATACGAATGGCGTGGAAGGAAAGGCGACGGGGATAAGGTCGTACGTCGCGAACGATCGTAGGTGAATAGTTTCGATATCTCTGTCGGCAGTCGAGGTCGCGGGACTTCGGTGGCCGTGTTCGTCGCACGAACTCGGCCGGAGATACGGCGGAGAGCGTTTTCACGTTTCTAGATAATCCTTCCTTCCTTCGGGAACAGAACCCTCCGGGATATCTTGCCGAGTTATTGCACGGCCGCCGCTTAGAAACCGCCGCACCGCTCCTATACGATATCGTGCCTCAGACACGTTCCTCTCTCTCCTCCAACAAACCATCTTCATTTTTCCGTCCTGCGCGAATCTTCGCTCGGAGAAATTCGAGTCGCGAG